CGGCTGGCTGGCATGTGGTGCTGGGGGATCGAACCACGGTCCCTGTGCTATGCCAAGCTTGTTCCAAGTAGGTGCTTTAGACCACTGAGCCATATCGCCAGCCCTACCATGCCTATTTTGATGTGTATTATGTTAAACTTTTTTGTTATTGTTGTTTGGTACTAGGGATCAAACTCAAAAGCTTTGGTCTTGCCAGGCAGGTACTTATGCTACTGAGCTGTCTCCTTGGCCCACATCATGTAATGTTAATGATGGGGTTTGTTTGGAATTTAGTACATACAGTTAACATCATAATTTCCATCCCATGAAACATCTCCACCCTTCTACTCCCATCTCATGGGCCCCAACTGATTTTCTTCCCCATCTCCAGAAGTTTAACCTCCTGGTTTTCTGTCATTTTATTTATGCATTTGGTTGGTTAGTTGGTTTCTTACATAAGAAAAAACACAGGCCAGCAAGATAGTTCATGGGACTAAGCACCTGCTCAAGCAAGTGCAGGGACTGGGGTTCCATCCTTGGCACCACATGCTTTGCAGGTCCTGCCCCTAGTCATGCTCAGCCGGCATCTAAATCCAGGTATAGCGATGCACACCTATAATCCCAGCGCTGGGGAGGCTGAAAACAGGAGGATCACTAGGAGTCTGAGCTGCATAGTGAGACAGACCCGTACCAAATACAGTAAAAGAAAAGTAAAGCAAAAAAAAACCACACAATGTTTAACTTTTTCAGTCTGATTTCACATTGTTAATGTGATTGTTTCTGGCTTTATCCATTTTCCTCAAAATGATATGGTTTCATTCTCCTTTAATATTCTACTGTATGTAGAGAGCATATTTTCTTTATCCTTTCATCTGTTCATGGGTATCGAGGCAGCTTCTGTCACTTAGCTATTGTGAATTGTACTGTTCCAAACATGAGTCTGTATGTATCATTAGACAGTCTTTAATCCTCTAGAATATGCTCATCTGATGCCATGGTATTTCTAGACGTGTGTAGTCTTTTGAGGCATCGCCACATAATTTTTTTTTGTATTTTGGGGAAGGGTCTACAGGGTGTTCAGGGTCTCACTACTAGATAGGACTCAGTGATCCCCCTGTTTACAGCCTCCCAAGAGCTGGGATTACAGGTGTGTGCCACCACGCCCAGTCTCAATTGCCATCTCATCGTGCCCCAGGGGTGGGGCTGGCACTGCAGGCCCCGGGATCGAACCCCGGACCCTTGCACCTGCTTGTAGGCGCTTTAATCTGCTGAGCTATTTGGCTGCCCCAAGCTCCACATAAATTTGTATGTTGCTCATTCTAGTTTAAACTTTCCCACCGGATTGAACTGCCCATGTAGATGTGTAACTAATTGTCCGGTTGGACTGCTTATACCACCAGTTGTTCAAAACTGGCCAACAAAGGAGACAGTTTTTGAGACTATGGTCCAATCATGAAAGTGTTATTTTTCTCCAGTAGTGTAGATGGGTTCCTTTCCCCCCACAACCTCATCAACATTTACTATTTTTGCATTCTTGATGCTATGATTCTTATTGGCATGAGCTGGACTGTCATTGTAGTTTTAATTCTCTGATGGATAGAAATGTGAAACTTTCTTTAATAGGCTGTTTATTTATTTTTGGTCTTTTTGAGACAGGATCTCACTATTCAGTTCAGGTTGGCCATGAGCTCACTTTGTAACCCAGTAGCTACCAAAGACTTCCTCCTTTTCTTTTTTTAATTTTATTTGTGTGTGTGTGTGTGTGTGTGTGTGTGTGGCCAGCTCAGCCCACCAGGGGGCGGGGCTGGCTGGCATGTGGTGCTGGGGGATTGAACTGTGGTCCCTGTGCTTTGCTAAGCTTGTTCTAAGTAGGTGCTTTAGACCACTGAGCCATCTCACCAGCCCAGACTTCCTCCTTTGCATTAGGTCTTTTCACTGTGTTTGCCTTGCAGTGCAGGTATGTATGTATGTATGTATGTATGTATGTATTTATTTATTTATTTATTTAGCAGAACCAAGAATTGAACTCAGGCCCTTGTGCTTGCTAGGCAAGCACTTATTCTACTGAACCATCTCCCTGGCCCTGGTTTTTATTTTGATGTAGTCCCATTTGTTAATACATAAGATTTCTCTTGCTTTTGAAGTCTTGTTCCAGAAGTGTTGGTCCCTATTTCCTCAGGTATAGCCCTTGTGCTGTCTTCTGGCAGTGTCATTGTGCAAGTCCTGAGTTCAGTCCCTGGGAATACAACCCCCACCCACCCCCGCTTGGATTTGCTCCTGTGTCTTCTACTTCATGCGCTCTACATTTCTGCTTTTGTGCCAGTACTATGCTGTGTTATTACTAAGGCATTATAATACAGCTTAAAAGTTGGCCTAGAGCCTTCATCAACAAAGTAAATTGTATTCTATTTCTTCCTTAAAATCTTTTAAAAAAATGTTTTCTGTGTATGTTTGAAGTGGACAGTAATTACATTTGTCTTGGAGAGTTGGGACACGTATGTCACACATCTTGATCATTTCCATCCTCTCCTCTCTCCACTCTGGTCCACTTGTCATCTGTACAGAGTGTACCTTCCTGGGTCCTACCATCTTGTTTTTCTTTGACACTTTAAACTACTTACATTTTGGGACTTTCATGTTAGAGAAACCATGCAATATTTAATTTTCAGTGTCTGATTTGTCTTCTTTAGTGTAATTATTTATTATTTTCTTTACTATTGATGTATTTAGTAATTCTACATCTAGGTATATACTCAAAAAATTGAAAATATATATCCATACAAAAACTTACACCTGAATAGTCATAGCAGTATTCATAACAGCCAAACGGTGAGCTGGGTGTAGTGAAACACTCCTTTAATCCTGGTTGTTCAGGAAGACGAGGCAGGAAGATCCCAAGATCAAGGCCACCTTCGTCAATTTATCAAGATTTGTTCTTAAAGTACCATCGAGGGCTAGCAATGTAGTTCAGTGGTCCAAGCACCTGCTTCACAAGCACAGAGTCCTGAGTTTGATTCCAAGTACCAAAAAAAATTATAGAAGAAATTTTCTCCCACTCTTAGATGATTACATTAAAGTGACTGTGTATGTATTTGGTATAGGATCTCTCTACACAGCTTGGACTCCTAACGATCCTCTTGTTTCAGCCTCCCCAGAGCTGGGATTGCAGGCGTGTACCCCCCCCAGTCTTGGTGACCCGTGTTGGCATGCCTGTGGATGGGGCTGGCATGGCATGTTGTCCTGGGCATTGAACCCCAGTCATTGTGCTTGCCTAGGCAGGTGCTTAGACTGCTGAACTATCTCTGCAGCCCTGAAGTGACTTTTAAAAATTGAATCACAGTACAAATTGATGATATGTGATTGGATTTTAAGGGATCTTTATAGACTTATTATGCCTTTTTTCTTCTTAATGCCATAGCCTCATCCTCCTAGAGTGCTGGTATTACAGACATATAATACCATAGACTTAGCTTTTTAAAACAGATGTTATAAAATAGAAAAATAAATTTAAAAATTCTAATGAAAATTATCTACTTTATCCTGTAAAATAGCATATATATAAACCATTTTTTTAAAAAAAGTTTATTTGTGTGTGTGTGGCCAGCTCAGCCCACCAGGGGGCGGGGCTGGCTGGCATGTGGTGCT